AAATTATTCCTTTTTTTTATCTCAACAAAAGCTGGCACAATACAATAAATATGGTATAAACTGAGTAGATTAGATACTTAGGCACTTGTCAAGTCTAATGTAGCTCGCTCTAGTTGAGTAACCTGATTACGTCTGCCTAATCGTGTTTCACGTAAATGATCCATATAAAATAATAAGAACAAATAGTCACAAAAAATATAAAATAATTATAACTGAAACAATGAAATGAACAAGGGTGAAAAAATAACAACAAACTCACCGGCTACAGGGCCCAAGCTAACCGAGGGAAGGGCACATATTCTATATTATTTATGAAGAATAAATCTGCTGCTATTAAAAAAAAAGGATCGGAGTTATGTGAGAACTACAATTGAAAAATCTTCACATCTGTCCATTAAAATGGGGAAAGAATTAGACAGAATAATAAGGACATGATCAAGACATAAATTTTAGTTGTAAAATTCAGAAGTATGAAAAGAACTGAAAGAAATTTCAGACATAATTGAGATAAAGGTTGATCTCAAAAATGAAGAGAACTCAAAAAATTGTTCTTGAAAATGGATGACCTCCATTGTTGGAAATTGGAACAAAAAGATAAAAGAACGATTGTTCTGGAATTGCGTCTAGTGAGCATTGAAAGAATAAGTAAGAAATGCCAAATTTGCCTACCACACTTGACTTTTCTATATAATACTAGATGATGCCAAGCCCGTGTTGAGCACGGGCCCAACGTTGTTTTTATGAAGTAGCAGCTTACAAATAAAATTAAATTACTGTAAACTAAGCAAACTCAAATGAACCTACCAAAGCTTAGCGCTCTCCTTTTTTATTTTATTATTTTATCAGAGTAGAACATTTTCAAGTTTGTAGTTAAGTTTAAAGACTCTTGAATAGAGATAGTATACTTTTATTTTACAAGATGAAGTTTAGTAGATTTGGTGCCTATAATCTGAGCATTGGAGTTAGCACAATAAATAATATCGTATCCAAGTTATCAGTTCGCATAAACAATGATCTTTAGAAAATAAAACTACTTTCAGATGCCTTTTCACTTTCTAGGCTCTAGCGGGCAAAGGTCATCCCTACAACCATCATTGATCGGGTATGACAGGTTTTGAGACCAATATAGTATCAAGATAGTTTAATTTTCCCTTCAGCTCGATTTTGCATGGAGCTAACTCATCTCGAGCATCCAACAAAGATATATGCGCTCCATTCTGCGAACATGGAAGTTTTAAATTATTAGCCAATAGATCATTATTAAAACTTTCATCATACAAAGAAACATCCTACTTATGATACTTGATAATTGAGCTTCTCCACTAAGTACACAAACGAAAGAACTACAACAAATTCAGTGTAATCCCACAAGTGAGGTATGGAGAGGGTAGTGTGTACACTGACCTTACCCCTACCTTTAAGAAGGCAAAAAGGTTTCTTCTGGTAGACCCTCGACTTATGAAAGATTTAAAAAAGGGGCAACAACACAAGCAAACCAATCGGAAAATACAAATGAAGCATTGATGTAAATTCACGAGGCCCCTCTTATGGCCTACGGACCAAATCTAGTAGAATTTAGCTAATATTAATATCAAAAGTAGAAAAAGAATAATAGTCAACATTAATTTAAATCAAGATAAAAACAATGATGTTTCATTTTCTATATTTCAGATAGGGGATTTTACTTGTAACAACATCAATTAAAGTACTTACCTTTTTGATATATTCACATTAGTTATAATTACAACAATTGATACCTAATTTAAAACTTGATGATGATAATGATTTACATTTTGAGCTTGTAAAATTTTTGAGTGGCCCCAACAACAAATTTAAAGTATTTGGTCCCTTTTCTCGAATGAAGCGCATGAATTTGGAGAATCTATTTTATTTTAATTCTTGAAGCCTGTTGTATAACAACCTTTAATCCCATAGAGGTCTTAGACATGCATAGTAAAAGGAGGAGTAGGGTAGTTCAGCAAGAAGTTGCATAAACTATTACCTCATCTTGTGTTTCATAAACCTATCAACTTTTTCTAGTCCCCCTCCACATACCTAATATTCTAGAATTTGTTAAGGTTCTTGTTTCAACTTTTATTCATGACAGTATGACACTTTTGTGATAACACCTCAACATATAATTAAACATACATGATTCAGAATTACAAGCTTTTTCACTTCAATCTTTTTCTTAATCGGCTCTTTTTCCCGCCAACTTAATGGAACTTCTAAAGCTTCAACCTAGTAAAAATCCAATACAACAGAATAAACTTCTAAAAATTAAAGAAAAAGTCACCATAAATTTTCAGTTGAACATAAGAGCCACCAAGTCCAAGCAAGCTCTTATTTTATTTTATAAGCACAAAACTTTCAGCTCTACGTGTATTTTTCTTTTTTCGTCAACAAGTGAGACTCTAGATATCAGAATACGAAAAGTCATAGTAAAATGAAATTAAAACAAAAACACAAAATAGTTGAAAAGGAATTAAAAAATTAAATATAAATAACTTATTAGATAGGATAATCTTTAAAATACACAAAAAAATGATTACCAACATAATAAAATGATCTTTTAGGAGTAATTTACTGTTGAAATACTCCATCGAAAAAGTTTAACTTTTCCCAAGTATCACTCTTCTACGACATTAAATAAGATTGAGGGAAATCTCAAAATACAATAAGATGAACATATGACCTACTTTTGAGAATATAACATAATGCATCTGACACTACAGAGACAAAAACATTGCAGCTACAAGCTAGTAGCCATTCCTTGAAGAACTTGAGAAGAGAACCTTCAGGATAGAGGTTGGAGTATACCCACATTTAATATGGAATTAACTGAGAAGTTTCTTCTAAGAAAATATTTTCTGAAGGAATTTGTCCAATAGAGTTATGAGAAATCAAATATAACATACATTCAATTACTCAATAATAGATTTTCTAACATGGAACAGTAACAGCCTAAAAAAAGGGGATTCATTTTCAGTTAATCACGAAATCACAAATTTAGTAAGTCATGTTTAAAGATAGGTCAAACTATAAGAAGTCATATGTAAGATCTCAAATTTATCAGAGAGTATAGTCGAAAGAAAGGGAAAAAAGGCTTAACCAACTCTTAACCGGAAGCTATAAAAGGCCTTTCAAAACATAACAGAATTAGAACGTCATTGTTACTTGAACATGTAAGCATTTCCAGTCAAATTTACCTTACAATAATTTCATTTTCTATTCAAATTCTCTTCAATGAAAGGCAATAAACAAGTTATTGCCATTAATTGTAGGATAACCTATCCTCTTTGAATAAAAAAAAATCATTCATATCCAAGTTGTGGTGAAAGAAATAACGTAGTAATTTTATGGAGCATCAAATTGTTGCCATTTGCATTCCAGTACTAATATACTACTATTGTAACATCTGGGTTAGCAAAACTCCGTTTCAGTTAGCGAAAAATTTTATTCATGAACGAAAAACATAAACATAGGCTTAGATAATTTTTCAAACTAAGGATTAAAGGAGAAAAATAATAAATTCAAGCTTAACAAATAGATGAAGCATCGAAACAAATCAGATCTTGTCCAGTATGTGTTAATGCCAGTAAATAAACTTCAAAAGAGAGCAAACACTCTCCTTAATTTTGATTATACAGCAAATAACACAAAATCCTAAACCTGAAAGCCTTGTTTCAAGAAACTACCTGGAACAATAGATTTTGCTAGCCTGATTATATGAAATACTGGTGTGTATTTGACATACTTCCCCTACTCTGGTGAATGGTGATCTTCCCCTGCAATTACATATAGCAGAAAGGGAAAAGGTTTAAAACAAAGAGGTGTTAGAGGAAAACTCAAAATTAGCTAATTCAAGATAGAGGAGAGGATTTTAGCGTATATAATCTGAAAAAATCTAACTAAATATGCTATCTATTTTCCACACATCTGAAAGAGTATTCTCTGTAAAAGTGTGAAGATGGAGAATATTTTTTTTTTACGGAAGAAGAAGGAGAATAGGAGTAAAAGCGATGGAAGGGTCGATGTTTCTAGACTGAGGTTTTTGTGCGTTGTGGGCTGTGGGAAAGAAAATATAAAATGTCTGAAATGACGGGTTTGCCCTTGGTCGACCATGATGGCTATTCTATATAATAGAAAAAATAAATAAGAAATACTTTAATATTTTATTATGTTACTTTGTAATTTTGAAAATCAGCACACATGTAATCACATTACTATGCTAAAAATTCAATTTTAATAAGCGGAATTAATAAATGAATAAATAAAAGAATTTAAGAAAAGGTCAACTCTCCTTGGGAGTGTAAACTAGAAATCAGAGTGAAAAATTATTGGGTTAAATATAAGTTAAGTGAACAACTTTTTCCAATGATTTTCGACTTGACTAAACATTCGTTAAAGGAATGAAAATCATCTGGTTGAAATTTTAAGTTGGCGATAGAAATTATAGTATTTAGTACGACATGCCCTAAAATTACAAAAAAAAAAATAAAAAATAAGGAGTTTTGGTTAACGTTAAAGCAATTGGGGTACGTAATATGGTGCCATGCCTATATGGCTATATGTGTTTTTACTACTATTTTTAATCAAATAAATTCTTGTTTTTTAAATTTAAGACAATGGTCAATGGTGATTGTGAAATTTTATATTATAATTTGGATTTACGGAGAATATTTACTCTTTTCTTGCATTAGGAAAACCTCAAGTATGAATTAGTATGTCTGTTGGAATTTACCGAGTGTTTTGAATTGGATTTATTTTGAAATACAATTTGACGACTACATGGGGTGGTGGCGCAGTTGGCTAGCGCGTAGGTCTCATAGCTTCTGAGTTATCCTGAGGTCGAGAGTTCGAGCCTCTCTCACCCCATAATTCTTTTTCTCTTCATACTTTGTTAATTTCCATGAATTAATTAGAATACAACCTTTCGAAATAAAAACAGTGATCGTACTTGAGGATGAATTTTGATACAATATCATTCTTTGCTCATTTCCATGAATTAATTAGAATACAACTTTCGAAGAGACAAATAATGATTTTGTTTGAGAAAAAATTATTACAATATAATTCTTTTTCGCCCAACTTAATATTTTTCCATTGAACAATAGTTCTTGTTACATTCCCATGCTTTCTAACCTTATTCTCTATTGAAATCTTTATTCAGTTATTAGCAACAATGTCCAATCAAGAAACTCTAGCGTTTGCAAACAACTCCACGTCCATAAATTCCACTGTTGCACCTCAAGCTAGGCAGCTCCAAATTCACCATATCTTCATTCCTAGATTCTTCTGCTTGAAACTTAGCAACAGAGCAATCAGCTTCAAAAAGTCCTGAAGCTGCGAAGTCTTTGTCACCTCCCATTACAGGCATCAAAGCACCCATTTTAACTCTGCTCACGTAGTTCCTTCTATAAGTTTGGCCCAAAACACCACTAACTTCATCACTGAGTGATAAAAACTTGAATCCAAGCTCAAGATGAGCAAAGCAATCGTCTTGTTTTATGCCATAGTTATGAACTTTGGATTCTTTCTCTGTAATTGGCACCACCTTGGCTGTAATCTTGAAAATGTTTTCAACTTCGATCACAACTTCGTTGGTGCTGCTGGTTCGAGTAATAGAGGCTGTTGGTCCAGTTTCTGACTCCCACCTGTCGAGATATAAGATAATTTAGTAATTAAAAAATGTATTTTTCAATTCAATATGATATCAGATCCCACAAGAGGTGTTGGATTAAAATCTCAAAAATTAAAAAATACTACTACCATTCATTTACACCAGGTGACCACTTTTGTTTTCTTGTAGTTAGAAGTTTGCCACTTTTTAAAAAAATTAGACTCGTAGTCTTAACTTTAGTTTTGAATATTAAACATCATACCAGATGGTCATTTTCGAACTTTAAACCACCGGTAAGTTTTTTTTAAAAAAATAAAAATAAAACTGGCTACCTTCTAAATACAAGGCCACTAAAGTAAATATTTCTGCAAATCAGTTAAAAAACATTTACGTGCTTGATTCATGAAAGAAAAACAGATCCATGCAAATAAGAAGACGTATTGAGGTATAATATAATCAAACGCTACCTTGCTCCTTCGTTGTCGGGAAGAACAATAGTTTGATCATCAAAGATGAGGAAGAGACGATCATTGGCATTATCCCATGTTGCTGTCTTAAGTGCCCCAACAGAAATCTTGTGAGTACCATAAAGGATACCAATGGATTGAACCCAAGTAAAGTCTCTTTTCATATTCTCATTTCGTTTTCCTATGAAGTGAGCATTGATGTGGAGGTTAGAATCTGAGACCAGGCAAAAATCTTTGTCCTTCTTGCCGTGGAAGTAGAAAGTAATTCCATCTGCTCCAATGAAACGTGGATCTTGGCAAACTGCTCCTGGAGTGTCACAACCTGTTTTTCCAATTAGTTAAAACATCTTGTAATCCAATATTTAGCCAAGCGAAGAACAACAAATATATATATTGAAAGAAGAGTTTAGGTTATGTGAACTAATAATGTAAAATATTTACATAATTAGGGCACTTGTAGATAACTTTCTATCGTAAGCATTAATTAGTAACCTGAATAAATGATAACTAATAACTTGCTTTGGTAAGTTAAATTACATTGATATATAACGTTAATCAATAGAAAAATAATTTAACTTCTATATCACTTAAAATGTTGTCGTCTAAAAAAATAATTACAGGAAAAACAACTAATTACTTCAACAGGTTAATTACATTGATACTATACAAGATTATATTTACTTGTTTTTATAGGGCTGTTTTGGAGGGGAAGGACAAAGGTAGCGGAAATTGAACTCACGCCAATTACTTAATTATGTCAAATATTATTTATATTGTCAGTGTATATAACGGTTAAACCCGTATAAAAAAGATACAGTGTACTGTGAAAGTATATATGGAGTAGATAAACTTACTGCAAACAGGTTTGCAAGACACACAATCAACTTGACATGTACCAGGGCAAGTACTAGGGCATGTATGTTGTTGATTATAACATTTTGGGTAATTCTTGTTCTTGCACTTAACCTTCTTTGGAGATGTAGTTGGACTCGGGGGGGTGTAGGGAGGTGGAGTTGGGCCATCAATGCAAATAGGTTTGCAAGATCGACACTCAGTTATGCAGCCATTGGGACAGAATTTGGGACAAACATGTGGAAGATTTTTGCATTGCTTGATTTCATCATCAGAGCAATGAGAATGGCTCGGATGGTTAGCAATCCCAGGTGGAGTAATTACTGGGCCGCCGGGGGCAGCCGTTAAAGAACTTCCAGGGGCTGTGGCCGTAGCCATTGATACGAGCAATACGAAGAAGAAAATGGCAGATATTGATCGAGCCATTTTCTTTCTTTTGTTGAATATGCAGAGATATTTGGTAAATAATGTGTTGTTGAAATACTTGGAATTGTGTATTTGAGTTGATGGGATTTACATTAGGGACAACACCTTTTTATAGGAGTTTGAGAATGAGAAAAGTGAGCCTATTGTTTCGTGTTATAATGTCAATATTAAGTTATCTTGCACGTGGTTCTTTTATCAAGTCAACGTTTAATATTCTCTATCAAATTCTAGCATATGGCGTCACTTGGCCATAAAGCTGCAAAAATACATTCCTTAAATCTTTTCTTGAACTTTATAGTAGCTTAAAAACATAACCCCTTAAAGATAATATATCTTTTCTGCGAAATAATCAGACAAAGCAATACCCATTCATGAATAGAAAGAAGAAATACGTCTAACTTGTGAAGAACTTAATGAATGGAGAGGTTTGGGGGTGGGGGGATTGGTCCTTTCCTTAGCTTGTCACTTAATCTGGTAATATCAGGAGTTTTACGTAATTTCATTAGTACGTAAAGAACCACATACCTACAACGAATATGGCTGGTCTGATTTTCGCAGGCTCTTAATATAGGAAACACGAGCAAAGTTTGGTAGTAAATTTTATGGATTTAAGTTATATACACTCGATCAATATTATTCATTAAAGTTATGCAATTAATTTTAATTTAAGACCTGATGTGCAAATATTTTTTATAATTTCAGTGCATAGAATTTAAACTTTTGTTTTATTCCTTCACGCAAGCGTCTTTCTTTTTATATATGTAGCTCTAGTTAACAGTAACACCTGTAGTAACGACAATTATTAATTATCATTGTTTTATCTTCTACTTATTGTATGGAAACTACTTTCTATGACGATTACGATAAATTGATAGGAGCATGAAAATAAAAACAATGGTAGTGTATATCAAACTTAAAGTTGACAATTCCTAGTTACGTTACATGGAGGCTAATTAAATTTATCCTCCCTTCACATTTGATGCGGTTTGAGACTTTACTTCTCATGTGATGGTTATTCTATTAAGTCAGACATACATTTAACTTGTGAGTAAGTGGTCATATTACAGTTTGCTTTATTCTTTGAATTCAGCTCTATAATTCATGCTGCATAGCGCAATTATAAAAGCAAAATCAAAATTATAATTCAAAACCAATTACGTATAATTTGAGTGGATTTTCAAATGCATGCCAAAATAGTTTGCTTTATGTTTTGAATTAATTAGTACGTCTAGAAGGCTTATGGGGCTTTGCTATGGATATTCATGATGATTTTGATTTACTTAGAACTTATTTATAGAAAAATAAAATGAAAGGAAAACACATACTAGTTTGGTTCTATGAATTGGTTATGTGCTTGCTTTTCAGGATTTTCAATCAGCAAATTGTGCCTCAATCTCAAACTAATTAATCTCCTCTTGAGAAGTCCATTCCTTATTCAATCCTGCCCTAGGAGGTATATCTAAGCTTTACAAAATCCAATTCCAGTGGAAGACTAATACATTCTACATACTAGATCATTTGTTTATTATGCATATTAAAATTTCTCTAAAATCAAAAGTTCTCTTGTTTGGCAGTTATTAACTTGTATATTATGTTAAACACTGATATATGGCAAACTTGTTTGTGAGAGGCCAATATAGAAAGAAGAGAAGGAGTTAGGGCGTTTGCATATTTTCTCTGTCTCTTTCTCTTTTTTCTCGTATGTATTTGAGTTCGGGGTGATTGATACAAAGGGGGCTTTTTGGTTCTGGTTTTAGCGGAATGTCCTCAAAATTGACAGTATTTAGAAAATGACCCAGGAAGCACACAACTCTTCGGAAGTTTCTCTACCGGATTAAATTGGTCATCGAAATCTACCGGATTATCATACTTTTGCTCTTTAGGATTTCTCTACCGAGTTGATAGAGTTGATGCTATATTTGTTCTATATATCTGTAAAATTATTCATCGGAATCTACCAAATTGGCATACTTTTACTGAGTTATTTTAACTCAAATTTGCAACTTTAATTTGGATCAAACCACCCCAAATCTGCTCCAAATGATCTCAAATTTGAAACAAAGCTTCCAAATATCAACACAAACAATCCTCAATCACCAATTCAGTCGAATAACACCAAATCAAAAAGACCCGCTTTGTCTTCTTCAATACTTTCTAATGTCCAACAATGGAGTTTTAAAATTTTTAAAGTAAATTATCAAAATCTGTGTTTGACTAAAAGTTAAGTACAAATTATCAACATTCAAACGATTTTAACAATAATCGAATATTAACTTTTAGTTTTCATTACCAAACACGAATTTCAAGCTTTAAAAATTAAAGAAGAATGGTATTCAAGTAAAAAATGAGGACATTCTGCCCAGACCACCCGTTTGGGGATCACGCCGTGCTAGTTTCTGTTGAGGTCGTGGATTCGGCACATTTAGTTTTACAACATCCGACTTTGATGAAACCCAAAATTGAGCCCACCAAATGGCCCGTTACAGTTGACCTTTACTTTCAGAATCCATTTTGGCAGGATGAGACAAATAAGATACTTGTGTGCCACAATTAATTTTTGATTCGGTAACACAATTTTAGGAAAAAAGCCTCATGCTAAATCTTTAAAGCAAGCTGGACAAAATTTCCCTTAAGCGCAAGAATTTTAAGGCATGCTGAGTAAAATTTTAAAACACGCAACAGTTATGGTGATCATCAGGAGTTTGCTAGAAAATTTTGCCAAATCACCAGAATTTTTCAGCATTATTGCTGAGATTCTAGTGAGAGTTAGAATTTGTTCTCGTGAATCCATTAAACTAAAACATACTATGAAAATATTATTTGTTCTCGCTACGCGTATCCGGACTAAGCTAATAACATTATAGTCAAAGTGAAAAATTGCACCCCCTACATACTGGAAATTGATCTCCCTTTACAGCAATTTATTTTACTCCTTGCTATCTCCAGTGCTTCCTGCAGCAATTTATCCAAGCAAACAATGAGAAGAGGGTGTACTGGTGCAGCACACAAATAACCAGAAAAAAATGCTAACGAAATTTCGGCCGTGAATATGTGGCAGTTGACTTAGCTAATGGATTCAACAGTCGAATACCAAGATCATATAGAATGTATTACCCATTGAACAAAACAGGATGCAAGGCAACAAGTAATTCATAGAAAAAAGATACTGCATATAAGGTAACATGTTTCAGAAGCACCTTACCGTTTGAATAGGAGACAAAGGAGAGTATTACTTGATCAGTATACATCTAATAGGTGATCCCTCAGCACCAAGCAACCTTAAGGGCAGACAGTGTACATTGTATATGCCAGTTTCTATATCATCCAGCTTCAGCCCTTCAACGAGAATGATTTCCTGGAGCATTTCAAACATCATAAAAATGGAAGGACAATTACTGGCATCAGAAGAAGTAAATGGTCAATAAAGTCACTAATTCTGAATACTATATAGTCTGCTTCAACAAAAGGGAACACAGATAATGCTCAACAATAGTTATCTTTTTTTTTTTCCTGAAGAAAATTAATCCAACTTGCTGTCACTATCTAGAGAACAAAGATCATGTCATGGGTCAACCATCAGACGTTGACATATTTTTCTAAATATATGTTCAACTAACCTCCACTTTAGCTTTCCAATTCAGATTTCATCTTTTCAGTTTCATTAGGCGAAGCTCCCATATAGAAAAATATTAAACATGAATGACATAAAAATTCAGTTTCGCTGCCACCGATTCTATATTTTTTCTTCATAAGGAGAATTTTAGCTAAAGAAGAAAAGGCCAGTACACTTCAGTCTAAAAAATGGACTCAAATAGTTGACAACCCTCTATAACTTCTAGAAGAGTAAGATGCAAATATTCTGTAGTTCCACGGTAGAAGAAGCTAAGACTGTTATTCATCATTATTGCATCCAGCTCATTCATCTAGTATAGAAGACCATGATTGCTCCAACTAGCATCTAATCCAAATCAATGGCAATCTCAAAATTCTGATCAAGTACCAATTAGCAAATAAGATTGAATAATGTTGTTAGGCCCTTCAACATAATGTCAGTTCGACCACAGGTCAGTAAGGCCAACAAATTTTCCGATACAAAAAGTTGAAAAGCTGATCTTAGCATTGAAAACGTGATCGCTCATCTAGAAGGGCAGAGCTTTTAAACCAACATATGCAATGACTTTATGCTGTTCTTTTTCCACTTTTTGACAGTTGACAAGGAGTTGGTCACCTGTCCCCTTAATGCTGAGAGCAACTTGACTATGCAGCACCTTTCTCATGGAACAATGAAACAGTAAACTCGAGCCAAAGAATTAGGCAATTCGCTACGTTGAGTAAAAGCTCAGAATCTTCATTATATACATTTTTAACTCCCCCTCCCCCCATCCTACCCCCCTATTTTGTGATGAATATCAGACTCTAATCATAGGTAACATGAAGGTTCAAGTTAGTCCGAATAAGACTACTTACCCTGCTTTTCAGGAAGACAAGATGGGAAGGAATCAAATCATCAAATGCAGCAACCGACAAGTAATCAATTCCTGAAAAAGAAAAAAAGGAAACAAATGTCAGCTACGAATTCTTCAATCAGTCGATAATCTTGAAGGAAATCAGGAAGTAAATTATCGCTCATTTACTCTAGTTGAACTTCAGCTGTAAAACACAGAAGCCTCTATAATAAGGACAAATCCAAATGGGAGTTCACAATTGAGCACAGAAATTGAAAAAACAATACCCAGGTTATGGCCAATGAGATTTGTCAGCAGAAGGCAGTAACAGAAAACATAGATGAAGATAACTAAGTTACTTAACCACCAATAATGGACAAATAGGACACATTAGTCAGAGAGCAGATAAAACAAATGTATATGCATGTGTATTAATTAGATACTCGTTCAAGCATTTAAATGAATTGCCGCATGATGTTCCACTTACTCAAAATATATGGAGTATAAAGTATAGACGATATTTATGCATCATCTATGGTAACTCAAAAAATATATTATTTACAGCAAGGGTAAGTTTACTCCAGCACGGAGCATGCACGGAAGTGCAATCTGAGGAAA